CTGCCACTATTTTCCTTCAGGTGTGAATAGAACAATTTTAAACCCATATAGCTTTAAATGGTTGGTAGCCTAGCTATCTGAAAGATCATTGCTTTTATAAACAGCTACAGCTAAGACAGATTTCTTAAACCAGAGCCATCATTTAGGATGGAAAGAGGTCACAGGCAGGACACACCCTATTAGATTATCTCCTACTTTAGAAATTCATCATTCCTAGTGGCTATATGGAAATCATTATSAGGATTTTCTGTAAACATCAATTTAAGAAGCCTTTGCTTAATGGCTGCCAGGTGATATCAAGTCCACTAAAACAACRTTTATTAATTCAAATCAGATTTTTTTTAATATATCTAACCAGGTCATATTAGTAACTACTTTTTTTACAATCTATTTTTATGTAAATCCTCTTAGCAACTCTGAAGAAATTCTTTTTTTCAGAAAAGGGCTTCCTATGAAACATATGAATAGGAGTCATTTCTGCATTGCTTTAAACATGGCAAGATTAATAACTGAAATATTTCCTAAAAACATCACTTKAATAATGTCCTCCTCTCCTGCAAGCATGCTCATAACTGAAGTCTGACAAATAACTGCAGTGTTCCCACAAAGGCCACGGTTGTGAAGGAAGCAGCCAACACTCAAAATAGCAGCATCCAGTTCCAAAACAATCTGCAAATCTCAGGGGATACACCTTGGACGAGAAGAGGTATTTGCAGTGAGGGGATTGCAAATATTAAGGTCGTTAAGGTCACAATTATCTCAAAACAGGATAGGAATCCATATTTTGGCTATATGCTGCAGTAATATCAAGATAAATTATTTCAAGAATAGCTTATTAGAAACTAAAAACCCACCCTCAATTTAACTTTGGTATAGCTGTCCCTGCAATAAAAGGCACAGATTTGCAACAGCTGCTTTCCTTAAGTCTTCTCATAGGTGAATTTGGGAGGCCTGACCAGAATAGGAATAGGTCAGAGTGCAGACAGCACTTCATTCTCAGCCTTGGTCTCAACCTACATTTTTGCCTTACTGCTGGATGCATCATCYGTTTAAAGCAGCTGTAAAGATACAGCATATTCTGTGAAGTTTAGCCTCCTAGCAGGCCACTGCTCAATGCTGTTTTTCAGATGGTTAACATTATCTATAATTACATTTACCCACCAGTAAGTTGGTGGGGGTTCCAGTGAAAAACTACTTTCCCTCATCTAGCAGTAACTAACACAGGGATGAACCATAACAAAAGTGCGTGAAGTTGCCGATCCCCTGATTTTAGTACTACAGTCCTGGAATTTAGTCTGCCATATACACGCAGGCAACTTTAATTTTAAAGCATCAGGGCCAGAAAACTTCAATTTCTTGCCACTTTGCCACAGTTCTTGCAGATTTCAACCACCTCTGCCAYCTTCTGAGACGCTCATTAAGTTTCAGACACTTAAACGTCAAGGAGATGTTAATCTAAAAAATGATTTTCAGACACAGACCACAGGAGAACCTGGCAGGACTGTCATCACTGATGGTGGCTCCACTAGTCAACCTCCACTGTGCACTATTCAAAAACCAAATACTTTGAAATACTCCAAAACAGATAAATACATCTCGGTCTATATAAATGCAGAATCATTTTCACCTTTGCTTCTGAGAAAATTGTTTGAAATGCAAAGAAAAAACAAAAAAGTTTTTTCTGCAGCTTCCTACAGCCATCATCTTTAAAGTAAGGTTGTGTAGAGACCCACACTTGTCAACTGACAACATAACTTTTTACTTCCCAAGTGGTCTCCTGCCAATTATATTCAAAATGATAAAAGAACTTTAAAAAATGAAAATATACTTTCATTCCATTACCTTCTCATTTTTATGTAAGTTATATAAAAGTTCTACTATTCCTCAAAAAGGTAAGTTACATGGCACCTTTAAAGATTTCCTGCAGCACTAAAAGTCAACAATATTTATGCAAGAATGAAACGCATTTTGCATGTACTTTTGTATAAAAACACAGAAAACACTCAAAAGAGACAAAGCTCTGGAAAATTRGTCTTTAAATGTCTTCACATGCAATCTTGAACAGCCTGAATTAAAACTAAACAAAAAATGCCATCACCTAGATATGTGGCCGTTTCACCACAGAACTGGCAAAGCTTCATTGCTCGAGTGGATCTTTACTTTGAACAGTTCTACGCAGCTTTTATATTCAACAAGCCTGGCAAACAAGCAGYTTTGCTTAGAAAACTAAGTAGTGCCTGCTGGCCCTCAACATGCTTCAGACCTGCTCAGCGCAGCAGAGCATTCCCAAAGCGCTCCGGGCTACGGGCACCTTCCACAGCCCCTGCCACCTGCGATTCCCCCGGGCTGCCGTGACTCTCAGCTTCGACACTGCTTCAAACGGATGAATCTGCTGCTTTAGCCAATTTCTGATATTACTGTGCAAAATAACGCAGATTCCAAAATAAAAACCTACAAGTCGGCAATCACAGGAGCTTCCCTGTTGACTTGCAAAGCACTTTGCAATGCTTTCTTGCCACAGATCTCCTGCAACGTTTAGTCTGTCAAAAATTTGACTAATCAAAAGGACTTGTCTGCAACCAAGAGCAATTTTTAGAACGGACAACCAGAAACACTGTTAATATAAGAACTTTTAATAAAAGTCATCGTTGGGTAATGGTAACTAGAATTGTACYCAGTATTTTGGAAACACTGACCAAACACACCAGTCAATATGGCACAATTACTCCACCTTCCCAATCTGCTTCATAACTACACTTATTTTTCACTTGTAGCTCTTTACTAACTCAGAAGGAATCCAAAACATCATCAAGACGACAGCTTAATTAATTCCTCATTATTATGCTTTGAAATCCGGTTACTCTGTAACATACCTATTGACTCAAATATAATTGAGTATTACTTTCTGGTTAACGTCTACAGTCTTTATTTCAGCATGACTTAGCTGAAATCACTCCATAGCTATTTGAAAATACTTAGATAACTGCTACCGTCACAAGAATATCAAAACAACTTACTTATCTTCCCCATTGGACAACAGAATAATTACAAGTTGACACAACAAGAGTCCTTGTATCTAAAATGACTTTGTAATTTATAGTTTCCAGAGTGAGGGGATAAATGTAAGTTCTTTGGTTTCATTTGAAAATTTAAATAACTAGGAGGTAAACCAGCCAATCAACATCTGAATAGGAAAATAAGATTACATTTATGCCTGGTATTACAGCTTAACTTATTCTATAATTTTCCCTGATCATTTAATATTARGTATATTCTCCAATTGTGTCTGTAAAACAAATTAGGTAAAATAAAACATTTCATTGACAAAACTCTCATTATGGTTTTGAATTTAGCTATTCATGACATTGACCAATACTTAAAGCATGCAACTTCTAAAATATTGCTTTTGTCTATGCCATAGAGAAAGAAACATTAAAATGTTAAAAATAAATTGTAAAATTTGTGAAAAATTAAAGCATCCACACTTCTCAACATTAGATTTAACTTACATCTGCTGCAGAAACTGCTTGGTACTTGATACAGGTTTTCTATAATTCCTACTATTCCTACTCAACTTTGAAATTTTATTTAATTATACTCCAAAGGGTCCTTTAACACACATTAGAGAAAAGCAATATGTTATTTAAAAGAAYACTTAATTCTTTTACATTTCAAGCACTATTCATTCACACTTTATGATATACATAAGAGCAAGGCAATACCCATACTTAATGTCCCTGTTTCTACAAAAGCATTTACTGCTCATACTGCTCCTCAACATACATGGTAACATATTAAAAATGTTTTTTGAAATGAAAATGGTCCTATGATGATTCAAGCATTTTATTTTCCTTTCACTTGTGAGAGCAGAGGTGCACAAAACATTTAAGAAAGCAAAAATCGCCATCATCTTCAAAATTCATGGAGTAAGGTTCCTACTTTGCATTTGCAGCAAAGGATATCTTTTTTTTTATGAACAAAATACTAGCAGTAGTATTCGATGGTCTCCCTTAATTCAGTTAAAATACTTTTTTTTTGTAATTTAGTTTTTCCTTTTTATTAACTTCAGCACAGATATACACCAAGCTCTTGGTTTGATTCCTTCCCTCCTTCCTGCTTCCACTGTAGTAATGTTCAGAAAGACCGTATTTGAGACAAAGAACCACATCTAATATTTAAAAAAAAAAAYGCAGAGCAAGATGCTGAAATGGTTTTGGTTTTGACTTCACTGTAATGAAAAACACCATTCACAGGACAAACAGGAGATTTCACACTCTTTAATGTGAGGAGTCTTTTAAATAACATTTACATATGAACAGAATGACACAAAGAACTATACGTCAACATAAAAATCATTTCTTCCAAGTTTCTCAAGTCAGTAACCTTCAACACTTCCTCAAAGATATAAGCAACATAATAGGAATGTAAGAAGAGTTGTAAGAGCAACATAATAGGAATGTAAGAAGAGTTTTTCAGAAACTTAAGAGCACAAGGTATGAATGGAGAAAATATGTAACTGTGATACCTGCAAATTAGACAAAGACATCACACATTAAAAGAAGAAAGTCGGTAATGGCTTCAGAAGAAGAATTGCAACTTTGTCCTCACACCAGTACACAGCAACTAAGAAAAAAGCTTTTACATAAAATGCTATCCATGGAAAGTATAATGGGATAGGGCAAGATCAAAACTGATAGCAAATAAAAACAAACAAAACAAAAAACATTCCAAATAGCTTTTGATAATAGAAGTTAAAAACACCCTTCTCCCTTAAGCAAAACACGTGGAAGCAAGAAGAACTGTGTTTACTGGTGTGTTTTTCAGGACACCCAAGTCCACAGAGCACCCATTGCACTGCCAGTTCTTAGGAGCAGGGACTGCGCTCGGGCTATGCCCTGTCAGAAAAAGATAACTGAGGCCATCCCGCAACCAGGAGGTCAAGGAAAAGCAGCGTGCAGAGAGTAAATAAAAACAGACAAGATGCTGCCAGGTCAACATACCTCTTGTACGGAGCGAGCTGCTGGCTTGTCTTGATGATTGGCCAGTATTAAAAAYGGCAAAGTACATAATTGTGGGTGCTGGAGAGCAGAATGCAGTTCATTCCTAGCAGTTTCTAGATCATCTTCAGAGGAGGCGCTGTCTAATACAAATATTACCCCCTGGGATCCTTGGTAGTAACGACTCCAGTATTTCCTGATATTGTCGGCCCCTTTCAAGACAATAATAAAAATTAATCAAAACAAGTATAATTAAGCAGATTTAGGATGACTTAMAACAGAATTAAATAGATTTAAAACTCTTATCTGGTAACAACTCTCTTTGCATAATCAAAGAAAGAGGATTTTTCTTCATTCCTTAATATAWATTGTAGAAGGAGTAAAAGGAAAATAATCAAAGCTAGCACATAYAGAATACAAATCCAAAATTTTGGAAAGGAAAGAGATTGACTGACAGCCACTCATCTCTGAAAGCTTCTGCTCTATTAAAGAGCACTGGGGAACTATTATGCCTCCAGAGTTACGTAGCCTAATTCCGTATCTTACAGAAATATCCTGTTATTAATATATAACTAAGTTATCCTTTGCCCATTCTCCTTTCCTTAGCCCATACAGCTCATTGCTATAAGTTGTCATTTCCATTATATTGTTCTGAGCATGATCAGATCTTTCAGTCCACCTCAAACACTACACAAACACTCCATCTTTGGAGAAAAGTATTAAAAAAGTCTACTTAAGTTGTAAAGGCACATTTAATGAGGAGAACTGGAATATAATAGGGGGTTGATGTGGTGAGAACTTGCACAGACATTCACTGCAACTAGTTTTCCTCTAGCAACCACGCTAAAAATTCTGGAAAAATCTAACAGAGCAGACACATCAGTGCCTGCACAGGTTTGTGTGCCACAGTGATTTTTAGGACACAGTTCAGTGGCACTCAGCCAACTCAAAACAAGCCAAGCAATAAGGTTATTGATGGAAAGCTTTGTCTCCTCTGGAGAGCAGCATATGTTAAAACACTGAGTTAGAAAAAAAAATCCTGCTTGACAGCTGTCAAACTGCAGTATGATTTGGCTGTACTCTGTTTGTCTGAAAATGGTACTACACTCATGGGGACYAACATTAAAAAGTGAACAGCAGCAGCAAAACTCTAGCATAGAAAGTGATCTGACTGTAATAAAGAGTGATTTGAAGAAATGTGCTAAAACTATCTTTTACATGTACTTTTCTTATTTTGGGAAACGAAGAACTGAGACTTTAATGTAGACACAAAGTACTGATAATAAGTAAACTCCATTTTTTAGTGAAACAAAACTACCTACAAAAGCTCTGACCATGTAGCAGGCATGAAATGAAAATTTAATGCAACATGATTATAATGCCATTGATATRGTATTTAAAATATTCATTTAATTTGTGCACTGTGCCATGAAAAAGGGAAAGCCATTAAACAAAATCTATATTCAAAATGGAATGCATACYGTATAATGGAAGCATCCAACTCAGAGTACTCTCACTCCATAGAGTACTCCATTTCTTTTTTCTGTCCACTAACTACAGTGGGACCTTACAGATTTAGCTCTTATTCTTCTGTACCTAGCACAACTCAGGTGGTGAATGGGAATTTACATTTAAAAATACATTTTCTTACAGAGAATATTAAAGACATAACTGAATAGTATTTTTCTACAAGTGGCCTAAGAGAAAGTTGTTACTTAAAGGTAGCAGGGCAGTTTAGATTTTACTGAAAAATCAGGGCACTTAGACATGACCATGCTTAAACTTTCATTACTAATTCAGACTCATAAAGCAACAATGCAAAAATAGGTGGTTTTATTTATCATCAACTTGCCAAGTGGAACATTACTTACACAGAAAAGGGGTTGCAATGAAACTGAACTGTACATTGCCATGCCACCAAAACTCCCATTAATTCTACTTAGAAAAAAACATAGCATCTATTAGATGCCCTAGTTCTTCCAACACTATGCCAGTCTCAATATAACAAGTCGCTACAGGAATTTTCAGCTGCCTAGAGATATTATTTGCATGGCCATACACAGCAATATCACAGCCACAGAATCCAAGTTATCACATGACATCAGCACTCTTAGAAAATTATTCTTCATTGACAGAAAAAACTAACACCACTGTCAGATCTCTGAACGTCTTTTCTTCTTTTCTAGCAACACGTTATTCATCTTACCTACCCAAAGCTTCAGCCAGTTACTTTTCAATCATATGTTCCTTCCTGAGACACACAGATCTTATCTCAGTAACAATACTGATGATTTCTAAGAGAAAAACTATGCCCTGAACTACAAAGTCCTTGACCTCTTCCGTCCAGGTACCCAGGACAAGGTAGCACAGGATCCTTAAATGAGACACTGGAGCCATAAAAGCAGCATGTTCAATTTTTCAGCCTATAGTCTTTTTGGCTCCCTAGCTTAGGAGAGCCTACATGGAAGAACTTTCAACTGCTCAAAAAGAACCACCTCCTTCCTCCCCCCCCCAAAAAAAACCACACACAAAACTCAGTACTTTCCTGTGTTGTGTTGTCCAGAGAGTCTCGACAGTGGCATGGTTTTAAGAACCACCCAACCTTCAGAAAAACTTGGTATTTCCTTCAAATCTTCTATTAGTAATTCCATTACAATAGTGACCTGGTCTGAACTTTCTTACACTTCAATTTTGATGAAATTGCAGTCTGTGGTTTAAGAATAAAAAACTTGCACTAAGCAGACAAGAAAGAAGATTGGGAATGTCTTTACCTCAGGGTGCCATTTTAACTCATGTTCCTGGCAAATGCACTTGAAAAAATAATTCCTGGCATCAATAAGCTATCAACAACTGGAAATCATAATTTCTACAAGACAAATAATGTTGCATTCTTTTGGCTTAACTCTTTATACAGGGAACATAATCCAACCTCAACTTCTTTCTCCAAGGCATTACATAGTATGTGTTGGTACCACTCAAGACAATGGCCCGTGAATAACAATCCAGCCACCAAACTTCTAGACAGGACAAATGCAGTCTTATAGAACAAGAAGTTTTTAAAGATGTACTTTAGCACAAACTATCCCATGAATTTGAGTTTACCTTTTCCAAAGATTTTTAAGATGAACAATTTGAAAGTATGAGTTTTTTACCAAACTCCACACATGCCTGTTAAACACTTCAAGACTTACAGAGGCCAATAACACGAGCTAAACATTGCAGGTCCATTTCTATTTTCAGTCTTGAACCACTTTGTGCATAAACTAAATTACAAAGTTTGGGCAAAAATTCAAAAACATCACAAAAGCTTGACAACAATTCACATTAGATTTAAGGAATGTGTTATGTGGAAGGTTTGCTAAAATATGGCATTTAATATAACAGTTCTCAGAGACAAGCAAGAGGCATGACTCATGCCCAGGTGTACAATTTGTTTCCCTCAGCTATGAAACCATGAGTGCCARAACTCCTGTGATGTGACTAGAACATCCTATCTACATATCAATTTAAACAAAACACAGTCCTGTTACTTACAGAGAAGCAGAGACAATATTTAGTCAAATACATTTGGACTACTTTATAAATGAAAAAATAACCTTTATTCTAAGAAAAAAACTAAGGGGTAGTATAATTCAAAAGAGCACTTATTCAGTATTATTGTGAGACACGAATCTGTCAAAACTGTTTAAAATTAACAAAAAATCTGTTTTCATATATAATTTTGGAAATGTCATTTTTTTGTTAACACTAAGAGCACAGTGYGTCCATATTCACCAATTTATGATTTTTATCACTGCCAATAGTATCCTTTCAACTCACTTGGAAGCTAGAGGGAAGAGTTTATGCGAATGTGTCGTTTAATACGTATCCAAAACAGGTTGCACAATTGTTCGCTCCAGTAAATATTACGTGAAATGCACAGCTGCAAATCCTCCTTTTAACTATTAAGCTTCTCTCTAAATCTTCATTCAGAGCCATTTTTTTCTTTCTTTTCAATAATTCCAGGAGAACCAAATACAGCATTACAGAAAAAAAMATTTGATACAACTTTAAAGACGTCCAATTTGTTACTTGTCATACTTGCCTCAAATCTTTATCAGGAGGACAAAGAATGCCACAGACCTCYTGCTTCAAGATAGTCTGGCCTATGCATGCTCTTATTCACTTCAAAATAGTCTGCAGGATTCACATCACAGCTGTGGAGAAGTTATATTCCCAGTCCAGGGAAGATCTTTTTCTTCTCCACATCAAAAACACTTAACCTAGGGCCACAATAGAATACAAGCTGCAACCGGTTTTGCTGCAACTTCAAATATAGTGTCAAGTCGCATGAAATAAGGACACCTRTTTTGAAGGCTAGGTAGTTGATCAAAAGTTATACTGCTAAATTCCTAAACTACTATTAAACAGACCATTTCTAATGAGCAAAACCATGAAAAGATGACAAAGAACACAGCAATGATACTACAAAATCTTTTTGTCTTTAAGGGTGGCCTGTACACAAGGAAGGAGGAATGGCAAAGGGGAAAAAATAGTAATATAAATGAACCTTGGGAACTCGTTTTGAAATAACTGTTGCTAAGGATAGGATTTACTAACATTTAGCCCATCATTGCTTCACAATACAAACCGAGATGCCTATTACATGATCAGAAGAGGCTTGACATATTACACACATTTTTAAGAAATCTGTCTGTTCCTTATCTTGAGCATAGTCACCATGTAGATTTCCCAGAAGGAAGATCCAGAAGAAAAATAGCCTTCAGATTTGTGTTGTTTTGCTTTTAWACACAAAGTATTTTTCAACTTCTTCATTCCTTGTTACAAATGTAGTTACTAATCCTAAGWAGTAACTGGTTTTTGTATGTATATGTCCATATTCTCAACACGTCCACATTCAAAGCCACATCTACATACAAAAGTATAGGTGCTTCCTGTGGGTGTAATGTCATTCACACATCAGCGGCTACTTTGCATCAATACTGCTCATCTAGAAAATAAGCAGCAATATTGATGCTAAAACAAACCCTTTTTAAAGATTCRAAAGTTTCAAGACTGGTACTTTCTAGATTTTCCAAGATCTGCAGATCACTCTGCTTTCCCTAGTGTTTCTGTGAGAAGCATGACAGTTAATGCAGTTTTTGCCTTTTGAAGCAAAAACTCCTTTGACTAAAATCAAGGGAGGAAAAAGAATTTCTAGGCTACTACATCTTTGTGTTAGTCTGGAGAAAAGAGTCTGAGGAAAAACAAGTTATGATTTGTTGGAAACCAGTTTGCTAAAACACATTGCACTTTTTCTTTTTTTTACCATCACCACAAAAAAAAACCACACAGCAAGAAAGATGGCTTTTTTGCTTACCCTAGTGCAGCTTGTGCTTTGACAGTTGTTGTTAATGTGGTACCTATTTGTTTTGAACCAGACAAGCAATGCGTTGTCACACAGCAAAAGACTAATGAGGAAAGAAGAAGGTTTCTGAAGAACACAGCAAAGATTGTTGAACGCTTATTTGAATTTCCTTGGAACTCAAGCTCATATGATCAGGAAAGAGGTGAAAGTGATCCCTCTTATCTATGAGATGAGGAAACCATGTGGAAGAGCCAGGCCTTAGACACCATTTGAACAGAGTGCTCATGATGACTGATAGCAAACAGATCTTTAATACTTTCGGAAGCTGAATGTCTCTGTGCAACTYGGCATCCATTAGGAGGTTCTGTAAGTTGCTAGATGCAGATGTGTCTCAGRTGGCATGACATGCACGCACTCCATGACCAGATTTTGTAGAGGTGTCAACTGCCTTTTAGATAGASGAGTAAGGAAGTTTTATTWWTTATTATTATTTAGCAATAATAATATTATTATTATTTAGCATGTTCCTGTATGGATGACGTAGCCTGGTATTTAGGTGTGGGATCCATTTTCTGATGACTAAATAGATGAGATGTTAGCTGCTGTGCCAAGCTATGTTCTTGGACGACTGTTCAGTACTTCTTCCTTTCCTACAGGAAAGGGAGGAAGGAGGGGTTTCCYGTAAACAATTTTATAATTAAATTCTAATACATAAGCCAGCACAACTTTCTTTGTCCTTCTAACTTTTTTCTGAAGGTAGATGCTACGTGACATCTGTTGAAGTCTTCTCCAGGGGTTCACGTTTTCCATTCAGTTTGGCTTGTATAACAATGTGAATCTCCTCCTCTTCCTCTTTTATTCTTTACTTCCAAATTAAGACAAAATACACGTGCTGTATTTAACCAGGCCCATTTAAAGTTATTTGTTCTGGAGTGCTCACCTAGACAATTAGCTTAGATGGCTTAAGAGGATTTACTATGTTGGCCATGAAGCTTAAGGATAAGCAGGAGTGGAGAAGACAATACTTGCAGCTCTCTCTTCATAGGAATTCTCAACTGAATATAAATGAGGGTATTCCAGATATTAACTACTCTAAGTGGTCAACATATTTTGTCTTAAGACATTTAAGAGATGACTAGACATGTTGATTTTCTCTGCTTGCAGAAAAGGCCTTTGTCAGATTAAAAAAATCTGGAATATATGACAATATATATGGCAGAGAAAGTTACTAAATGCTATAACAGATTAATATKTTTAAACTTGGTAAGGAGAAACAGAGCTAGCCACATCCAAACTCACACCTACTGGCATCTCAACAGCTGTTTCTAAGCTTTTTATTAGCAAAAAAGCACATTTAAAATGGAATTTATTCTGCTTTTTAAAAAAACCTAAAAATTATTAGATGGTTCTCAAATGGGTCTGTAATCCTGATTTGAACCTGAATACATATTCCCATTACAACAGATACTATTACTTAGCAATCCATTGACCACACTACAACAGCAAATGAATAAATCTACTGATTAATGGTAGCTTCAAGGCTTTGGGTCTCCAGCTGGAAGAGACTCTTAAGAATCAAAGGAAAAGCTTCACCTTGTCATTGCCCCTGCATTATCTGTCCTCAGATTAGATCTCAGCATTCAGTACCACAAGCTTCTTTCCGCAAAAACCTATTACACACTTTCAAACAATAAATGTTAACATGTACTTCATTTTTCCAGTCTTTCCCCACTTTCCCTTATATTCATTACCCACAATTACAACCCTATTTCCCAGAGAGTGCTGCACTGTAACAGGAAACAATCCAGCCTAATTTCTTCCTCTACGATTACTAAATTAGGTTGAGTAATATAGAAATATTTCAACCTATGCTGATAAGAATATACTCTGAAAGCAAGTGGGCTAAGGCATGACACATCCTCACAATAATTTAAATCACTTATTTTCTTTTGGAAGAAAATAGGGTTTTTTTCATTTGTCTGAGAGGAGGAAGGAATTAGTGGTATAGTAAAAGAGAAACCTGGAGAATGGGATGTTAAATTTGATCAGTAAATAAAGCAAGCRTTGCTTTGCAAGTAACTCAAGCATGTCTGTTTTATTTGAAAGCCACATATACATACACACACAGGCATGCACATTCATACTGAATCAAGATCTAATTTTACCTTTTTAAAGAAAGGTTTTAACATTTGTGAAATTGGATAAAATGGAAAGCTCTTCTTATAAAACATACATTAATCCAATAAAAGGTACTAAGGTATAAGTCACCACAATAACAAAAAAGGGAATTTATTTTTGGTTTTAATATTTTGATAGCATGTACTTTAAAGCAGAATGTTGCTAAAGAGCACAACAAACTTCATTCCAGTCCCTGGTTAATCCTAACAATGGATGAAGGGATAATCAGACCAGGAACAGACAATAGAAAAGTGACTTTTCTATATGCTTAGCAGTGAATTATTTAATCCCAATAGCAATGGAGAAAAAGTCCTGGCTTCTTTAGCAGCTCCAGAAGGCAACCAGCATGGTAAAAACTAGCACCATTTTCCACCTCAAGCAAGGATACTACCTCAGCCAAAAAAAAACAAAAAACAAAAAACCTCTCAACACTAATAACTGCTTGGCCACTGAATGTAAGACCTTGAAGTATTATTTTTGTTGCAAGTTCTTTAATTATTGGCTATAAAAACTTGGTTGTATAAAGACATATGAAGTTTACAAATTCCAGGTTCCWAGACCTAAAAGATGGTTTTAAAAGAGCAATTCAAAATTAAAACTAGATASAACTTCACTCTGAATAACACGTGACAACGAATAGTGATCATTGAAAATGGTGCTTTTCCGTTGTCCTTTAAGTTTCTAAAAAACAAAGAAAAATGCTTGGACAAGACCTCCGTAGTCGAGAAAACAGAACTAAAGTAACAAGGCTTTAAAAAAAATGAAGACAAAAAAAAAGAAAAGAACAAAGTCATAGGCCTCTTTCTTAACATCAGAACCAAAAAAGACAGATTAAAATATAGCAATGAAGTAGAACAGAAGCATTATTAAATGTCAAATTCATTTCTACATTTTCAGAGAGCACCAGAAAAACCAGACACTCCAGAAAGCTACGCTTTGTATGGATCACATAGAAACACTTCTTTTAATTAGAAGATTAAGTACTGAACAAGAAATTAGGAAACTTTTATAAGTCTGGCATATCTCTCTCAGATGCAAGGAAAAGCCTAGCAAAACTAGCATTTTTCGGAAAAAAAAAGACACTATCTCTAAGGAAGGACATGGAAACACTCAYAGCTAAAGGGAAAAGAAATGGAATAGTGAAGGAAATCAAGTTTCCTGGATTCCTCCAGGAAATCCTGTCAAAGCTCTTCATTGAGATAAAGGTTTCTCAAGGCACACAAAGTAAACTTTATATGATAACCTTAAACTCAATCTAAGCAACAGACATAGCCTACTAATGCTGCATTTATGCATCCTCATAATACAGTCAGTTGGGGAGATAAAAAGTGTAAATTGTGCTGCAAATTATTTCAAAAACGAACAAAAAATCATATAAATGTTTGTTACACGCTTAAACAAAAACCACTACACATGCTCTGTACTCTGTCTACCAGGGAAAGCTTCTACTTTATAGGATACATAAGCAAACAAGCATACACAGGGACCAACAGCTGTAAAGAGGAAACACTCTTTTTAATGTATGTTTAGCTGGACATCTCGGATAAGAGAGTCATCATTAAACTTGATTTTATAGTGAAGCCTCCTTAGAGAAGCAATCTAATTTCTTCCTCAGAGCACCATGTTTAAGCCTTCTTTAAAGTCTAATGAACATCCTGATGATTCTATCTACTATATTTTTGTAGAATGTAAAGAAGATCTAGCAAAGTTTTAGAATATATAAAGGATCTATATGGTTCTTTAATTAGAAGAATTCAAGATGAAACTAGACTCCAGAGGTAGTGGATTTTCATCCTTTCCTTTTAACAGCTACCTCTTGACTAAAGACTCAACCTCTGAACCTTGCTAATCAAACAGCCTCACAACAAAAAAATAAGCAGCAAACCAGCATGTCTGCTGGAAGAAGATTTCTGTAGGGTCATTTCACAAGGCCTTTAGGCAGGGATTTTTTGCTTACATAGCTGTTTCATTTTGTGCGTGAACATCTTTTACATGAATTTGAAGGAGCATAGTACTTGGCAGTCAAAAAGTTTATATGGGTAAAGACATATTAAAAATCCAGCCACATGAAAATCTCCTAAACCAAATAAKTAAAAGATAATAGTTTTCAGTTAATATATAACCAGTTTGAAATTGGCTATGTTGGCTATCCTCGCAACACTTTTAGCTGTGCATCAAAGAGTTTGGTTATGTTAAAAATACYTCTGTGCTCAGAGTTTGCTGAACAGTTGCTCCTAAGAAAAAGCTCATATGCACAGTAAGTAAAGGGAACACTTTCCTGAGCTGCCATATGAGCCATACTACAATTATAGTCTCATTTTGCATTTTTGCATGGCCTAGCCTCTGCAATCCAAGAAATATTCAAGATACTCAAGATACTATTTGTCTTCTACTCCAACTTTCTACTTTCTTTTTCTCTAAGTCAGTATTGCATTTTTCTCAGTTTAACTGTCACGCTTTAATTTTTAAATAAGTTCAAGACACACTGATTCATCATTTTTATATTCTAAAGAATAAGCCACTTGATAATTCTAGCTTCTTATAATCAAATGAATAAATGATTAAGGGTAATACCTCCAAGTTCTTTTACATTCAAGATGGCATTCTGGAATGGCACTGCTTTTATGCTAAAACCTAAAAACAGAAATAAATAATATTAGTAGGTTACTTGTTAAAGAGGACATTTGAAATCAGCTGCATACAATCAGAACAGTCTACCTTGTTCACCAGGATTTTGCAAGAGGAATTCTCCGCATAAATAAGATGATTAAAGTTATCAGTTATAAGAGATCAGATCAGTAAGCTTTGAAATTAGCAAAGGCACTTTCAAATAGCTGCAAAATTCAACATAAAACTTTAATCCAAGCTAGCTACCATTTGGCAGGGATTTACTATTAAGTACATCTTCATAAAAATCACCTTTTAATGAGTTTGTAATTGAAGTTTAAATTTAAAATTACCAGTAATATGAAGTGATCCTTCACAATTTTTAGGGGACAGGGAAGACACCATACCCTTATAATTACCATTTTCTTACATAAAAACATTGCAGTTTTTAGTTGCAATTAGAGTATTAAGCATTTCTATGGATATTAACAGAAAGAACTTCTTACAGATCTAAGTGATATGTATAGATATGGTTACAAGTACTTAAAAGTATCTCAATCCTCTATTATCCTTTTATATCTTAAGCCAAAAAATATAAAACATTTCATGGTTTTTCTGTAATTGAAGAGTGCGTCACTGAAGTGTGACATTTGAGGTTTATTAGCTTATAGAAATTTAGCAGAGAAAGGATTTGTTCACTCATATCAGACCAATATGATATTACAGTGCTCTAACTCCAACCCTGGTCAATCGTAGATACTGTAGTGGAAAGTGCAAGAAAATCTGAAGGGAATAATTAGGCAATAGCTTGTTTACTGCTTTCTTAAAAAGAAATCCTAGAAAGAAGTAAAAACTGGAATGGACTTCAGCAGCATCATTGAGAAATGTAAAACTGTAGCTTATTGTTTGAAATCTGAGTGGAGAAGCTGCCACATTGGATTCTTGGATTTCTAATGATAACTTGTAATATAGCATTTACTAGTACAGACAGGTAGATGATAAATTGTGCCACTGACTTGGATGTTGCTTAGCTTCCTCCAAGTCCATTTTCATTTCTCTAGTTGCATAATGATAGAATAGTTTCCACAAAACACTATCTAGAAGCATTAGAAATGGAATTTGGAAATAAATCTATTCGCATTATTTCTTTTGAGAACTACACTGCTCTTTATATTAGATTACTAAACCTTTCAAGTTTAAAAGTTAGTTTGCACTAATTTCAGGTGAACTTTACAGACAAAGCTAAGAGGAAAAAAATGACTGAATTGCTCAGTCATTTCCTTCTAACCTTTCAAATTTGGCATTGCCCTCTCCACACAGAAATTTCATATCTCTACAATTCCTAATATTACAAATGTGAAGACAATGAACTCAATGGGTTAATTATACATTGCAGAAGAAACAGTATTTTCTTGTACCTGTTGCACTTTGTTGACTTACAATTTTATTTAATAGCCTTGTGTTCTTGTAATTCCAACAAAGATACACTGAAAATCAGTTAGGGTTGCTAAGGGACAATCATATAAAATTCTAGCCCACAAACCATACGTACAATATAAAGCCATATAACTATATACATAAGTTACTCACACAACACCCACTATCTTTTCCCTCAGCAAATCAACCATACTAAAATCACTGTGGCCACACAAACAGATTTCTTCCATTTCTATGACCTAATCTGTCCTCTTTCTGAACTTTGCAGCCAGGTATTGCTTTTTGCTCACGTTCCTTTTTCCCTTTTTTTCTTTTTTTTGGGGAGGAGGAGAGAGAGGGAGATGAAGGGATGGAGAAGAGGGAGAGAGTGGTTTCAGACTTTCAACATTAGGCATTCTGGTCCATCTGTATCGGTATGCAAACTTAAGCTTTTTGCAACTAAGTGCCTTTAGCTGTGGCTATGTCCATTTTTATTTATCATCTTAATACCACAACAACCTCTTGTAAAATTATTCTCTGCTCTCGCTCTGCCTTTACTACATAAACAAGTCCCTTTTAGGATCTAGAAGAAATGACCATCACCAGAAAATAAACACTGACATTACATTTACTCATTTGGTCGCTAACACATACCACAAAGCATTACTGACCAAGTATGAAAAGAAATAAAACCTAACATAGGTTGCATAGCTTACTTACCCCATCCTGTTTAATATCACATTATCTCCTCTTTCCTGTTTCTATAACACAAAACGCTTTAAAAATAAAAGAGAAATAAATAAAAATAAAAGGAAAGGAAAGAATACAATAAAAGGAAATAGACCTTTGATAGTTCCATAGTAAATTCATAGTTTCTACTTTATTACACTATAATGTATATTCAGATTTTCAGCATACTGCAAACCGTATGCTTTCCTGAACATTCCTCATTGTATTAGCAAACTCTGAGCAAGCAAGTAGAGCTAAATTCAAAACAGTTAATTATATCTTTTTAAAAGCAGGACACCAAGCTGCACATGCTACGTGCTTTTAAAGCTGCCCACGTGCAAGGCTCGAGCGCCCCGTGCAACGAAGGCAGTCCTACCTGTGGTGGACACTATGTTCTCGGCGCTTTCGCTGCAAAGCTGCGACAGGAGACTTGTCTTGCCGGAGCCAGTGAGGCCTATGCAAACCAAGTCATATTCGGGTCGTGGTGGTGGTGGTCCCTTGCAGCAAAGGGCTCTAAAACACTGCCAGGAAGAAAAAGAATAAATAAATAATAGAAGAGGGGAGTGTTTTTCTGCATATCTTTTGCTAACAAGATTCTGAAAGATAAGTTGACAAATTTAAAGGTTCTAGAGAGAAACAAAACACCCTTCTAACTTATTATTCTAGTATCATCAGCAACTAACAGAGCAAGATTAACACAACCAGAATTTAGAACAGCTTTRTAAGACAAAGTTACATTTAGAACTTTTCATCTAAGCCTCATATAACTGGAGTGAGGAAAGCAACTTAGATGTTCTAAAGAGCATAACTAGTGCACATATGGTGAGAGAGGCACATGCTCTACTTGCTCAGGTGGTTGGGTATTTCATGTGTCTGCTTCCAGAAGCAGAAAACCCCAGTGCTAGTCTATGGCAACACCTGYTCTGAGCATCAAAGCAGCTGCTGAACAGTTGCTGGCAAGCAAGGATCACAGAGCTTTACTCCACTGATTTGAGCCACCTTCCTGGGTTTATCCTATGTTCTGAAGGAACACCTCCTCCTGCCTTATAACACCAACTGCTAAGAGCAAAACTTTTCAAGAAATGTATTTTGTTGGACATAGCTTTAGTCATGAAAATGGAGATACCATTGCACTGTCTCTTGTTGTTCCCTAGAGAAGCATAAGTTAATCACAATACAGCATAAAAATCATATACACAAAACCTGCTTTAGAGTTATGTTCATGTCTCAAAAGTACAGCCAAAATAGACCAAACCCATCTAGCAGGTCCCTTAAGCCCTTAGGAAGGTTCAATAGACCCTTCTTTGTAAGTTATAGAGAAAATTTCTATGTGGAAATCTAGAAGATTACCATTTGGGGAAAGCTCACAACTTCGCATCTGAAATACGGAGTTCAATCAGCCGCTAAAGTCTGTAAGACTTCATTTCATTCCATATATATATAAAACACACACATCTTCATATATATACACACATATATCTGTATACAAAATACGCATACTGCACCCACCCAATATCATAACAATAATAAATCTGTTGTTACAAGGAAAAGAAGATGTATTTGTGCACCCTCTCTCACTCATACATGGGCATATTCTGCATCTTTACGTAGTAAAAACTTGTAGAGCCTCCAGCAATAGACATTTCMGTTTCCCCACCTAAACTGAGGGTGAAGTTTAGGTAAATGCTTCTGTCTTATCCATAAGCCAACAAGAGCACGGGGTGAAGAACTCGAGTCTCTGCATAGCTGCTTAGCCACTCTCACTGGGGCTACTTGAGGAACAGAAAGACAGAACTGAGGTTATCAAGACACAATCATCTGCCAAGAACAGGTTCAGGGTCTGCAAGTCAATAAAAGAGAACGTGAKCATAAGACAATAGTTACTGCAACTACAGAACTTATACTGGATTCCTTTGGTTTCGATGTTGTATCTGAACTGTACGAGTGTTTACAGCATGACTGAAGTACTTTTGGAACAAATTCTTCATGTGCAACTCCCAGTTATTTTAAACACGTCGGAGTCTGAGCTTACATGCATATACACCAATTTGAGCAGGTGATAATTTGTCCATCTGAAGACAGGCTTTGGCAATAGTTCAGTCTTGTTAAATATTTCGTCTTGTCTATGCCTGCATAAAGATTAGAGTTCTGCAAAGAGGATAACATGCACAGTTCCTGTGAAAAACGCCACATCCAAAGACTTGTTCTACTTCCCTATGCAATGCTGTTGAAACAGCACTCTACATTAGTTTAAAGAAACAAACAATAAGTTCAGGGGAAAAGTTAAGTCCATTAACACACCATAAATAGGCAAAAAAATACATTTAGGAGTTAAATCTTTTACTATACTAATGAAGCTGAACAAAGGCAAGAAAAAATTAAAACTAAGACTTTTATTTCTGTTAAATCTTAACTCTGTTTTTCGTCCAAAAATTGGAGTCTTATGTTGTGTTCATAGCTAAGTAAACATGCCTTCTAATTTTATTCACACTGATGCCAGCTGATGTTATCCCATAGACACAGACTCTACAAAACCATAGCAAATATTGGAAGTTCTGGTACTTAAATGAGAAAGGAAAATTAAGTTTATTGCCCAACATTTGTTCCCTAAAACAAAGGCCACTAAAAAAAAAAAAATCCTCCAACCTCCTACAAAACTGTGGCTTAATTTCAGGAGCCTTCAAGACAATTTTTTACAAGAGTCAATTTGCCAGCCAGCAGCACAGAATATCTCCCGTGGATATCACGACATGCTCTTGAGGCCATATTAAGAAACAAAGAAGTGGATGTGCTCATGGTTGTCTGCGGACACTATGCCAGGCTTTGTGTAACCAGACAAGACTTCTATGCCTCTAACAATCTTAATAAATATTAAGACGATAACTAATCCCATTCTGTCAGTGACCATTACCCATTATATGCAATATAAAAAGAGGGCCTCCACAGATCAGACCATTTTCCCATTTTATTCAGTACAATTCTACGACTTTCTTCACATGCACATCTTTATCCCTGTGAATGGCTAGCTTCCATCAGGAGATATTTTTGTTATGCTGGAAGGAAATTCAAGCTGATGTGTACAATATCTACCACTAGCTAGCCTGAAAAAATCCTACAGTTTTTATTATCAGCATGTTTTAGGGCAAACCTGCAATGATAAACTTTATAAACTTGTTCTGCCATCTGTCAAGCTCAATGAGCAACTCTTCCATCAAAAACACTACTGTACAAAAAACACAGCTGTATGATCACTGCCTTCCCATTCCTCAGCAGCTTAAAGTTACTTGGCCTCTAACAAAACCTGCATGGAAAATTCTTCATGCATTTTACTACAGACAGGAAATGCATCCCAAGGTATTTTGTATGGCATGGAGTAGAGTCAGTTTTGCTAAAGAAGTCACCACACTTTACAGTGCAATAGGCAAGACACTGAATTGCACATAACATGTTTAAGTCATGTTAGTAACCAATGAACTCATTCCTGAACACCAAAACACATGAACACATCCAAAATATTAAGGGCTGGCCAGTCCACAGTTAGCTCATGTTTTGGAATTGCCAGGGTCATGCATTTGAGCTCCACTACTAGCAACAACAAAGCACATTTTGGAGCTCTATAGACAATCAGACACTGTTGATAAGTTCTTATGGGAGAGAGAGATGTCAAATAAAGCATCAGTCATCAAGCTTTCTGAGAACATTACTTTCAGAAYTTGTCATTACCTTTGAATGTTGGGCAGAGAAGCAGCCAGGGGTTAAAGTAAAATGAAAAGAAGAACTGATTTGAAAGTACTGAAAATAAAACAATACAGTATCTTGAAAAAATGTCTGCATTTGGCCAGTTTTGGAAAAAGAGTGTGTATTYACCCGGCAAACTGGGAATAATTAAGTGCTGCAGCCTGCAGAAAAATGTACAACATTCAACATCACTMTTACTTTTATTTTATGTGTGTGTGTATGTGTATGCATAATCATGTGCGAGAGCTAAGGGAAGAAGTTAGCCAGTCCCGCTCCCACTTAGGGATTTCCATCCCAACCAGATTATTCCAGTTTTAGATGGATCAGCATTTGCGCTGACAGTCCCAGACAGTGGCGCTTTAAAGCCCTATGGAGGTTTCTTCTGGGAAAAGCATTAAGTCTGTAGCAGGGGTGGCCAAGCACTTCTGACACACGTGCCGCTCAGATCCCAGACTGAAGCTCTGGGCAGCAGAGGTCCCTGAATTGCTACTCACTCCAGCACACTGCACGGCCTCAGGCCATTGAGTTTGTCTTCGTCTACTCACTGCACTTCTCGCTTCACTCTTTGAGGGGTGAAATACTCTGTTATTTTCGCTTTGTTCTGCATCYATCTTCTGTCTGTTTCTTTTACTCCTGTTGTTTAACAGGGACAAACAGATGCACAGGATTTCGTCCTTACACACACATATTCTCATGCAAAACTACTCTAATTTACTGCAATATTAATGCTAGCAAATGAAGCATTCAGAAATCCTGAAATGCAGAGTTAGGGCTGAAGGCTCAGTCAATTTTGCTCCCCTCACCTTCTTTCTTACACTTTAAAATAMAGATTTCTTTTAAATTTTACTTTTGAGACATCATCGAAAAAAGGGACTTCTAGTACTCGGGTAGATTTATATCYAGAGGACTGGATATCATCCAAAATTATTAACAAAAATCTCAAGGAGATCATTAAAAAGGTGTCAAAGTTGCAAACGGCAGGCTCAGTACTTCTAATGTCAGATGAGATYACAGAAGCACAAAGGAAGCTCAAACATTGAAGAGATAATGTGAAAGGTGAGGGAAAAAACAAAGGCGACAGCTACAATATTAAAGGAAAATAGTAGAAAAAGCAGGGGAGTAACTAGAGGCAATTAATAAAATGCATTCAAGGCATTTGAATGAAGTTATACACAGCTAAGACAGAAAAATAATAAGATACATAGTAAACTAATTTTAACTGTATGAAAACCTTATAAGTAAAATAGTACAATATATTCTATGCTTTTAACTGAGTTGCAGCTGTATACACTTCAGCTGTATACACTTCAAATATGCACACAGCTATTGTCATCCTTAAGTGTTCCCTGAAACAGATACAAATACTAAAAATCAGGACTGTCACAATGAGCCACTTTGACAGGCTGTAATTTCAGTGACCCATCTTTTCAAACTCTTCCATCATGATGCAGACCACGAGCAAGCTCAAGCAGAGGGACTCCAGCTCCAAGTCTACTAACCTATCACTATAATCCATCGACAGGACAAATTAAATCTCTCATTTAATCTGGCTGACCTTTTTATGTGTGGATTCAAGCAATGAGTGCACCCCAAGAGCACTCTTCCTTTGCAGTGCTTACACAGGCCTCCAATCTCTTTATCAGCTTGTGCCACAGAAGACAGGAATATGGCGTAAAAGACAAGCTAATAAAAAACCAGAAAAAAGTCTCTAGAAAGGGAAGTAATTTCAGAGTAAAAAGAATCCCCGTTAAGGCCTCCCTCAGTGCTACAAGGGCACTAAAAT